TAGTCAGCTTCAACTCACTGCTTAACTAGTTCCTGCGGATGCTCGCAAGGCTTCCCAAGTGGCTCAGGAAAGCTCAGTAACATAAATGGGAAAAGAAGCAAGCATGATTCCTCGTTGTAACAATGGAACGGTGTTTGACCTCCCCAATAAATATAGCAGCACATCACAATTTTTACACCTGCCAAAGCAATATCGCTGATTATTACTCTGACATCTTATTTTTTTAACTAAGGCATTTTTCGGTGCCTCCAGCCCACTCCTCATTTTAATGATCATTTGGCCAAACTTGCTTGTCATGCGTTTTTGCTTTGCAGTGCTACAGAGCTGCTGTAGTGAGCAAAAACGCATAGTGTCGAGAGGTCGCCGGTGTATGTGTGTGTGTGTGTTCGAACGCGAATGAACGTTGTCACCCGCTTCAACTCAACAGCCAGGAAAGTTGGAAGGCAGAAACTTTTGGGAGATATCACTACCCCATGTGTGACCTTCCTATTCTAAAAACTTTGCTCACACGTGTCTAGATCTGGCGCACGAGCCCCCTCCCCCTCAAAAAAAAAGTGCAAATTCTCTGGGAAGAAACGATTGCGTGATCCAGACAAGACAGAAAGCTGAAACTTGCAGGGATATTCTCTGTGCATGTATGAACCAAAGATATAAAATTCAGCTATTACGCACGTCTACATCATGCATGCAGGCACGTCACATCTTGCAGCTTGCGCTGCGCTAACTCGAAAACTAGCAAGAAAACAGTAACCGAAATTTTTTTTTTGAGTATTTATCATTCATATGGGAAATAATATACACAAACTGAGTCTCGAGTTGTACCTGCGCTACGACTTAGGGCACATCAAAAATATTTGTAGCGAAGTGGCTATTTCGCTTACTGGAAAAGCTTCAAAGCTGAAACATTGCAAGAATATTCTATATTCACGAGTGGTCTTAATTCAGTTTGGAGGTGGAATTCCCTGGATGCAGACAAGAAAAATACTCAGTTTTATCGCAAGTTAAAAATCGAGTGCATTTTGCAGATTTCATGATCCTCTTCCGACTTCCTTCAAATTTGCATCTTTCCAGTGAACCAACATTCACCGGAAAAACGACTGGTCATTATGCAAATAAATAGCAGCGCACACCCAGGATAGCCAGTGCGAAAATGTGTTTCCTGCAACCTCGTCCACCAAACGATTGCTTGTTAAAGTTGAAAAATATTTAAAAATTTCATCCACCGATACGTGAAAGCTGAATCTGAAATCTCGAAGGGTGAATATCCTTATAAAATTTCAGTCTAATTTTTCGGCTTTCGAATGGTCTTTGAGAAGAAACTTTCACGTGGCCATACGTGAGACTGCGGCATACTTAGGAACTGAATTGGAGTTTGTGGAACACCTATTTAAGCAGGAAACATTCTCCTGGAATTTCAGCCTCCTAACTCTTCTGGCTTCCGAGTCAATGATTTTCCTCGACAAAACTTTCTCGGGGAGTTGAAAATTTGCGGAGTTATACGTGAGCAGGGGATGCCTTCCTAGCTTTTGCAGTTCATGACGTAATTTCCCTCTCAAAACTTTCACAAGGCGGCAAAGGGCGCGCGAAGACTGCATTCATATTTGCGGGGGTCGTGCATCGATAGGGGACATCACCACAAAATTTCGGATTCCCAACTTTCGTGGTTCCCGAGATAATAACTTTCCCCGCCGAAATTTTCACGGAGTCGTAAATGATACCCGGGTGTATGGGAAGGCGCTGAATTGAAATTTGCGGGACTGTATTTGGTAGGGCAAATTACCCAGAATTACAGCTTCTTGGCTTTTATGGTTCCCGAGATAATATCTACAGGCCAAAATTTTCAGTGATACCCAAGAGCGCGGAAACGCTGAATTTGAATTTACAAGGTGGTGCGTGGACAGGGGCTCATTACCCAAAAATTTCAGCCTTCTAGATTCCGTGGTTCTCAAGATAATAATTCCCCTGTCAATTTTTTGGGTCGCACGTGGATAAGGGGCATGCTCACGAAATTTCAGCCTTCTAGCCTCCATAGTTCCAGTGATAGTTTCACCCGCTAAAACTTTTACGGGGCCATACGTGTTACCAGCGGGCAAGGAAGGTTGAATTTAAATTTGAGGGGTCACACGTGGGCGAGGGACACTTCCCTAAATTTTCAGGTTCGTGACTTTTGGGTTTCCCGAGTTGAAAGTTGCGAAAAAGTTACTGTGGACACACAAACACACACACACACAAGCAACTTCGTGGCAATATTCGTTTTGTACTGCTATTACACAGCACAAAATGCACAAAAACTGGTAGTCATATAGGCTGGAAGTCTGGTGGCCCCATAATATGCAACATCTTCATCTCAGTCGACGCCATTTGCTCTTACATGCGGAAAAAGCGCAGGAACCAATCCTGTTGTTAACATTTTGCAACTTAAGCGCAAAAAGGAATGGTGCACTGCAGCCCAGGTTTTCAGTTTGTTGGCGAAGAAAATTTTGCAGTCTAATGACTAGTTTCCCTGCCCCGTTCGCTGACGTCTAACTCAATTTGACTCAATTTTTCATTCTTTTTCATCTGACTCAATTTTTTTTGCCACTGGCCGTTTGGCTCAATTTTTTTCACTCTTTACCACTGAACAATTTTGGCACTGATGGGCCGATAAAACAACAAGCGCTTATTCATTTAAAGAAAAAAAACCTCCAATCCAGTATACAACCCCCAATCCAATATACAACCCCCAATCCAACACACATATATATATATGTATATATATATACGTATATATATACATATACAAGTTATATACATATAAATATACACAACTTCCAATATAAAACCCCCCAATCCAACATATATATATATATATATATATATATA